TTGACAAAATCTCTCTCCCTTTGTAAAGGTTTTGTTTGTATAGTTTGTAGCCACATGGTGTTATACTGATGGTCAGGGAGGTGCACGCACCATGGCAGTAAATGTAAAAACACCACCGACCCAGTGACTTTGTTCACTGCTACATACCAAACAAAAGCAAACGCAGGGGAAGAGGGATCGGTTTTGACTCATTCTGAGGAGACCCGCTCTTTGAGGCAGGAAGTCTTCGTGGCCAGCCAATGGCTGCAGGCGGCTCTATGATGGCAAGATGTCCAGGCTGGAGTCCACATGCTGGCAGGCCAGTAGGCAAAGCAATGGGAATGCCTTCCTTCAGCAGGCGTCATCCATTTTGTGTCCAGGAGTCTCGGACACGAGGCACTGCCCCCAGATTTCTCCTTTCACATACTCCTCTCTAAAAAAAGCCTCAGATTCACTTAGGTTGACATGTGAAACTGACCACCACAGCAGCCGTCTTCACATCTAACACTGAGAAGACAGGAACAAAATGCCACAGCCGGGGGGTAGGGGAGGTTATGGCTGCTTTACTCATTTATTCGTGTGTGTGCTTGGCGTGCTGAGAGCATCCTATGGCACACACAGAGGTCAGAGGAAAGCTTGTGGGGATCAGCTCTGTCCTTCAGCCAGATCATCTAGCTGGGTGGCCAGCTGCGCTTTCACCCCGAGCCATCTCACCAGCCCGGGATGGCTTTCAAGTACCCATTTTATCTCCACTTGAGGTGGAAACATCTAGATTCCCTCTGGTTGTATGGTTTCAGGTCTCCAGGGCCCTTAACCCTCAGCTTCTTGGTGCTGCTGTGGTTTAAAGGCACCCACTCCATTAACCGTAACCATTGACCAAGAACCTTGAGACATGACAAAAATGGTAACGAGGCGTCACAGCTTCACGACACTAGACAATCGGTATGCCCTTCGGTTGCTTTATTGGTGACAGAAAAGTGTACATAGTCACAGATGTGAAGAACTGCCAACAATGAAGAACTTCTCTATTGCCAGCAGAACACAACCACCCACCGTGGGTCCTTAGCACACACAGCCTGCCTCACGCCAGACAGCTGCGGAGCAGCAAAGCCACTTCTGAGTGCTTAATTGTGCTTCTACAAACCCTCAGAAGAATGAGGTAGTTTCCTTTACCCAGGGACCTCCCACACCGCCGTCTTTACACTGCAATCCTTCCCGCCATCTTCCCCGAGCTCCGGCCTCCGTGGCAGCATCTTTCCGTCTGTCTACTCAAGGACTGAGGAAGCTGGGCCTTGCAGTTATGTGGCTCCCCAATGCAGATACGGGAGGGCTGGCTAAGACACTATTGTTCACGCATGACCTCTGACGTCAGGACGTACTGACTTATCTGCTCTCAGCCACCAAGCCAAAGGGCGCAGACCCTGTGCCTGTGAGGCTCAGGCCTCCTCTCATAGCTGTGGGAGCATTGCCTACGGGACAGTAGCAGAGATCTGCCAGTGTGCAGCTGTTGGCAAGGTTAATCTTGAGATGGTCTGGCTATGCTTCTAAGTCCAAAGACTGAGTTCGCAGCCTCCGCCCCAGCGATCTTAGTGTTTGCAGCTCATTCATTAAGTTGGAAAGCGAGTACCAATCTGTCATCCAGGCTATACTGGATCTCAGGCTGTACCTCAGGCAGGCCTCGAACTCACAGGAAGCCTGCCTCATCGGCCCTTTGAGAGACCTGATTTTTAGCCTGTGGAGAACTGAAAGAAGCCCTGAGGTCCTGGGGATTGAAGAGCGGTCTCTACCTTGTTCCTGCCCCGGAGACTGCCGACCGACCACACCCGAGTCCAGCTGGTGGAAACAGCGGCCTGGCACATATTGTGGTTGTAAGCTACATGATTTCCAAGCTGTTGCTCTTCACCTGGGAACGGGAGCAGTGGTGTACCGTTCATTCTCCCAAGGAGGAAAAGCCACAGACCCCATCTCACTGATTACTTCACCTTAAGGCTTCTGAATCCGAGAGCACAAGGACTGAGGGCCAGACGCAACAGAGCTCACACTGTGGCACTTTTCCAGACTGGACATTAGTACTAAAGGGCAACATGACCCTTAAGTGATAAACTCAAAACTTAGTGCCAGCCTCTGGTGGGACTGGCCACTGGAGTGGCTGCCTGGTCATCCCAACTGTGCTTGGCACTGACCCTGAAGGCTGAAGGTCCTGGAGCCCGGCAGAATGAGGAGGCTCCTGGGAACAGCATAAAGATAGTCTGTGCCCCCAGGAGACTCCCCTATTCTCCTCACCATCTCCGTTTGCCTTCCTCTTGTTTTTGTTCAGTGCCAGCTGCCCTGTGTCATTACCATGTGGCAGAGGCCATGCAGCTGTGTCTGTCTGTGCACCAGGCCTTAACTCATTCCCACACCCTGGCTTCCACCAACCCCTGGGATCTCTGTGGGCTTCCACCAACTCCTGGGATCAACAGTTTCTGTTGAAACTGAACGCTAACTGCTGTAGTTTAAGAGCTCTGACATCAGGTCCACCACAGTATGTAATGGACATCTTCGGGTGGGAGGCCTGGAATCTTAAAACTCAGTAGTTCTAAAGCTCGTGCTGGTTTCTATGACTGAATTTCATGCTTTCCTTTTTGTTCCCTCCACAAACAAACAAACAGAACAAAACAAACTGCGTCTTCCTATGCAGCCCTGGCTAGCCCAGATCTCATGATGTAGTCCAGGCTGGCCTCAAATGCAGAGCTCCACCTGGGTCTGCCTTCTGAGTGCTGGGACGGAAAGCAGGTGACATGCCCACCACACCTGGCCTAAATTTCAAACTTTTGTCACTTATCAAAGCAAGTTTGACCCCATGGAAATATTACCCACAAACACTACCACAGTTCTGCTAAGCTTCATGACCAACCCTTCCAACTTGCACAGCTTTCCTTTACTAAGGATGAAAGGCCCTTGATTCTACCCAGGCCTTTAAAAGGAGCTTTTCAACAATGATTAAAATAAGAAGGAAAAAAAAAAAACCCTTTGTATTATTGTGGATGGCTTTTGTTTCTTGTATTCAAATCTTCAAACTGAAACTGGGCCTTGTGCCTATCACCCCAGCTATTTGAGAAACTGAGTCAGGAAAACTGAAAAATCAAAGGCCAGTCTTGGTTATAGAGTGCACATTTGGGCATCAAAGTGAGATGATGCAAGCAAATCAAATGGAAAGGAAAGAGGGAGACGCAGCTCAGAGGCTCCGTTCAACTGCAGCACCAGAGGAAACAAACCTCCAACTGAAAATAGCGGCTATATGAAAATCACTCAAGCAGCTGGCCTGCCTCTTTAAGCTAGGAGTTTCACCAGCTCCCTCCACAGCACATAACCATACAGTATAAATGTTTCTCTAGGGTCGTTGTCTTTGCGTCTTTCAAGTGCATCTTGCTTTGAGCTTATCGAGATGAGCAGACTCAGATGTCATCCTAGATACAGCTGATAACCCAACACTTCCTCAGAAGAAAGTGCAGATGACAGACTCACTGGCGAGTGACAGCGAGCCTGGTGGGAATCCACACAGGTTGGGAAGTCTTCGGGTCTAACTTCCCGAGCAGCAGAGAAAAACAAAACCAGCAAGGACTTCCTTAGAAGGAATGAGGGAACGTGACTGCAGAGAGCTGTGCTCTCCTGATCCTACATCATTTGTCTAAAGTCAGGTTATCAGCCCCACACCCCGTGAGGTAAGGTCTATGCTGCTTATTTTCCGTGTGAGTGCTCTGTCCTTGCTGGCTGTGTGAGGTGTGCATTTTGGATGTTCGATCAGTGTGTACCAAACAAACAATAATCCTCATGACCTCTGTCCAGTCACAAAAGAAATCTGAAGCCCTTTGCTTCTTTAGGGGTGGAGATACGTGGAACACAGAAGGCCGAACAAATTCTACCTGTGCCAAAACAAAGTGACAGTTGCTATCATGTGTCCGTGAAATTGCTCACTGGCCTGCCTATTCAAAAGGAACCTGCTTAACAAGGAAGAGTTCATGCCCTGACCCAAATTAGGTCAGGGCATGAAATATGGGGTCTCTCAAAGTCTTGGGCCTTGATGTTGAGAGGACCAGGCCTGAACAGCCCCCCCCCCTCAAAAAAAAGTCACTAGTCCCAGGAACTATGCCATAGATCACCAATTCCATAAACAAGACCATAAAGTCCACTACCCAAGGAAGAGCCTAGAGGTAACCATAAGAATGGGAAGGCATCTATCTTATCTCAGGGTGGGGCATCTGTGCTGGGCAGCTCACCCACCTAACATTCCTGTAGTCTACAGATGGCTCCCTCAATGTCAGTTCATTAGCCAATCACTTTGTAACAAGCTTGCCCTTGCTGAATGCCACCCAATCGTGTAATTGCTAAGCTGGAATTTCCAGAACCTTGCTGAAACCCTAAATAAAAAGCCCTCTCTCCCTGACCGCAGGGATCTACACTCCAGAACCGCTGTGTCAGTAACAGTGTGGGCCAGAGCTCAAGCTTGTAATAAAAACCCTACTATGTTTGCCTTGGATCAGCTCCCTGGTGGTCTTCAGGATAAAGACCCTACTGTGTTTACACTGGACCGGCTCCCTGGTGGTCCTCGGGGTCGAAACGTGGGCATTACAATGTGAGCAGTGTTGCTCTCAATAGTTTAGAAAGCACCATCCAATGGAAACGAGCAACTGTTGTCTTCCGAGAAGCTATCTGCCTCAGTCAGGATTAAACTGAACAACACAATTTTAAAGGAAGGACATGGGACTCTATGAAGAGCACAGCTAGAAAGGCCAAGAAAAGAACCCACAGGGCAGCTTCATACTTCAGTTGATTTTCCTAAAGCAAACTGAAAGCACGGAATTGACACAAAGTCTTCCCTATGCTACTGCCTAGTCTGTGGTCAAAACTGTCTTCATGAGCCCCAGAGTGCTCAGCACAGGGAAGACACCTTGTTTAGATATGTTGTTACCAAGCAACAGCCTAATGCAGGAAGGGTTTTGTCCCAGAGCTAACACTGCCTCCCCACACAGTTCGTTTCCTTTAAGATGATTTCGTGTGTGTGTGTGTGTGCGTGTGTGTGTGTGTGTGTGTAGGGCCTGAGTGTGTCTGTGCACCATATGCACACAGCCACCCCTAAAGGCCAGAAGGTATCAAACCCTCTGGAACTGGAATTAAGACAGTTGTGAGCTGCCAGGTGGGTACAAGGAACTGAACCACAGAGTGGCTACCAGAGCAGCAAGTGCCCTGACCACCGAACCACGTCCCCAGCCCCGCTCTAGCTTGGTTCTTACATCAGGAAAAAGTATGGCTCCCTAACAGCGTTTCAGCCCCTTCCTCCCCTGCTTTGTAGTTTTGCAAACACAGGCTGCCGGCTGTTGCTCACATGTGTCCTGCCTGCTCGGCTGGACAGCTCAAGACTAAGGCTGCTCCCATGTGCCCTTAGTAGAACCCTTGATAAAGTGACTCTGACAACCACATTTCCATCGGCAAACAGCCAGGGCTCAGACTCTCTCTACCTTTTGAACTCCTGGCCTTCGCATGTGTTCTGGGGAGATCTGGCAAACGAGGGAAAAGAGAAGATATACAAAATAAGTTCATCATCTTAAGCTCCCAGCTGCTTAGTTCTGTTTACACCGACTCGATTGTGACTTGCTGAATCTCATTTGATCAACCCAATTACACATTAAATAATTGCAGTCAATTATGCAAATATCAGCAATAATATTAATTTGTTGATTGTGCGCAGCAGATTAGCTTTACATGTTCCTAACACTACACCGTCTTGTGCTTTAAATGATCAATTAGTGTTAGGATAAGTGAATCCTGAAGAGCGGGTAATTGCCTGGTAACAATCCAACCCTCGTGCTGCATTACACTGCTGCAATTAAACAAGTAACGGACAAGGAAAGAACAACCAAAGATGCTTCTTTTATGCCTATAAATAAGTCATTGCGAAGGTCAATTTCCTGTTCTGTTACTTCAGTACGGATGGCAGCTGGGGCTCTGGGTCAGGCTTCCGGTTTTCACAAACCGTGTGTTCCTCCTTCCTTCCCTCTTAACTGAGCCTGCTGGAAAGCTTAACAGGTTTTGAGGTGAGAGGTCATGTGTGCTCTCTAACCATCACAAAGTGGCTCTCAGTTTAATAATGTAAGAGCTTAGGTAAACTCAGGGCAGACAAGGCATCTCCCTTCTCATAGGCCTCAGCCTGGCCGTTCCGTGCTTGACAGTTGATACCCCTGAAGGTCTACCCCAGACCTGTGCTGAACGTGAGGTCAAAGGGCATGGGGAAGACACAAGCCTCCGAGGACACTCGAAGGGGGCTCCGGAGGAGCCGGAGACACCTCCACCCAAGATTTCAATCAGCAAGGAGAGCGTCCTTGGACATAGTCTATCATCTCTGCTCATCCTCCAATTTTCTTATTGTCTCCATCTAAAAAACCAGCTAAAACTTTTAGAATGGAATGGACGTACCGTGTGCACGGCTAAATGTCTTAAGGGCTGTCCCTGTGGGGTGGAGTTTGTACAACCCTCTCCCACAGGACTGTGAAGAGACGCGTTTCCTCAGTTAAGATGAAAGCTACTGCAACCGAGGAACCAAAGCACAAAGTGCAGTGGCGGAGAGTTGGCCGTCCAAGGGCGCTTCCTGTCAAGACAGGGCTTTTCCCTGGGTAAACTGGGAAAGGAAAGGGCTTCTCACTCACAGCTCCTAGACGAGAAAAACACTGTCTGGAGTTATTCTGTTACCTAGCCGGGTGCTCATTCATTGCTCACTCAAGAGCAGGGTACACAGTGTAGATTAAGATCACAATCCAGAGTTTATCTCCCTCACTCCCCTTTATTTGGCATTTAATGCATGGTGTCTGCCATTTTCATGTGGTTGGTATTTTATCAAGAGTTCTTCCCAGGACAATCATTTCAATTCCAAGATAATCTTAACAACAAGAGCATTTTTCCAACTGACCATGCTGTAGAGTCCGTGACAAGAAAGACGGCATGAGAAAGACTGCCAGAATAGGCAGGGTCTCAAAAGGGTGGAGAGTCCTCCAAAACGGTCTCAGCGTGGAGGGACACACTTCTATTTCAAGTCCTACAGTAAACAAATACTGGACACTACTATATGCTGGGCTTTGAGAAGACGAAGATCTAGAAGGCACAGGACCCCTAGACTCATAGCAGCGAAGTGAGCAGCCAGCGGCGGGGGGAGACAACGAGCTTGAGCCTCACAGACAGCGCTAGGTGAGACTGGGCCAGAACATGACCCCAAGAAGGGACAGGTTCACCTTAGCAGGGACTCGGGGACCCACAAGAGCAAGGAGAAAAGAAATCCAGGTGACCAAAGGTTAGATTCAAAGACAAAAATAAATCAAGGTATGAGAGTGCACTTCTGTCATCCCAGCATTCAGAAGGCTGAGTGAGAAAAGAGTGCCTTGCCTCTGAGACCAGCCTGGGCAGACGTTAGGGAATGCCAGGCTGGCCAGGGCTACACAGGAAAGCCAAATCCCCCCCCCCAAAGAAACCTCACCAGCAACAGTGACAAAGAGCGAAGCTCTGAGGATACTAATGACCACAGGGACACTGCCCAGGGCATTTCCTGTGGCCCTTCCAGCGAATACAGGCATCTCATCAGTTGGGGAATTGCTTCTCCTACTATGGAACAGACATGTGGATCTGGTATAGGGTTAGGGAAGGCGTTCTTCATCACTATCTCTCCGGGGAAAGGTACAGTAAGCAAGTTACCATGTTGACAGGTGACATTTGACATTGGCAATTTTCTGTGGCTCAAGGAGAAACCTCAACTTGGTTAACACGTGAACAATGCAACTACAATAGGCAAAATCACTAACAGGTGGTCGGTCATAGGTCACAGGCAGAAGTCTGTCTTCCGGGGCACATCACCGACACCCTGAGCTTCTCCGTCAGGACAACTCGACTGTCCAGTCGCTCTCAACCCTTCCATACTACAACAAAGGCAAAAACACACATTTCAGTCTCAGACTTCAACAGACCCTCACAGACCCCACCATCTGCCAAAGCACAAGTGGCTCGGCAGTTAAGAGCTCGCACTGACCCTCCAGAAGACCTGGGTTCAATCAGCTCTGGTGTCTGCTCACAAGTGCACATACCCTCACTCCTATCAATCAAGTGTGTCAGCACTTGGGAGGTGAAGGCAGGAGGGAGCTACAGGAGTTTAAGGCTAGGCTGGGCTACATCAATAAAGTGAAAGTGCCCTTAGTAGCTGCTTTTTCCTATTCCATGGGCAAGAGCTCACCCCTCACTGTGGTGCCCGAGGCTGGGTCCGAGCCGCCCTGAGGCTGGCATAGTGGTGTCAGTACCCATCTTGCTAGGAACACATGGAAGGTGGCCTTGGGAGAATTTGAGGACGGCAGTGATGTATTGTCAGCTGAGTTTCCATCGGTGGCTCCAGTGTGAAGACTTTGTCCCCAGGGCGGTGCTACTGAGCAACGTCGGGACTTAGGGTGTGGGCCTTGGTCCTCGGTTCACGGGGCTATTGGCTTGAAATGAACAGTTGGACCCCTTAGGCTACATGGGAACCTGCCACCTGCCAATCTCAGAGACCACGCCAAAGTCAAGTCTCTAAAACTGTGAGCTAGACAAAGCTTGTTATAAAATCACAATTATTTTTAATTATAAATAAATTATAAGCCTTAAGTATTTTAATTATTAATAGGAAGCCCATCAATGGCACATCATTCAAAACATCTTTCCTGACTCTTCTTAGACTATGTAAACACATAAGAGCAGCGCAGGATTTGCTTTCCGAAATAATTATCATGGCATCTCATTTCCTTCTTTCAACAAAGAAACCTCACTGCTTTTATATGCCACCCTAGCCCCTGTGCTGAACCCCAAGGGACATAAAGAGAAGCAAAACACTCCAGCATTCAAAGGACTCTAAGCAAGACCAAAGTATGGCTGGTTATGATGGAATGTCACGCTTCAGGTAGCTCAAGGGCACAGAGGGCATGGCTCACGTGCCCTAAAAGGAGCCCTGTGAGGTTTAGGGCCAGCCTGGTCTACACAGTCAGAGTCTGTCCCAAAACCAAGCCCATCATAAACGTTCCTACGAGGGATGAACACTACAGAAGGCCTGTCGTGACCCTACAGTGCAACCAGGCTGTAGGAGGTAAAGTCAAGGAACAAAGAGCATTTGGAGGAGAGGCCACCTGCAGAGCAGAAGAGTAGGATGGGCAGAAACCGAGTTGCAGCCAGCACTGCAGAGTTCACCTCTGCTTACGTATAAACACCCAGGAGTGCTTTCCTTGTAGACCATAGAAAGAAAAAATGGGGAGGGGTGGAGGATGGATAACGATGAGAAAACAGCCAGTTATTAGAATTACAACCCTTGCCGGACCCTACAGTAACCTAGCACCCAGGGACCACTGTGGGTAATTAGCTACAGGGGACAAGCACCTAACCCAACAGACTTTAAGTCAAATCTGAGGTTTCAAAAATTCCCCCTGGGTCATACTGGCAAGAGCCTGGGATTTTCTTTTCCTTTGTGGTTAATCTTGTCTGTGGTTCTGTGGAACACGTTGCAGGGAAACAGCATGCTTCCTTTCATGTAACACTCAAAGAGAGCAAATGTCAAACATGATGTAACATCAGACTTTTTTCTTTCTCAGTAATTACCAAAATCATTTTTTCTTGGAAACAGGCAAGCTAGTCGCTTGGCTAACAGCACCAATTTGCCATCTTGTAAGAGGATAATTTGGAGACTTGAAGACACAAGCATAATAATTGAGGGGGAAAGATGTGGTTTTGATTATCGGTGGAAGGCCCTGTGGCTTAACAATTTGGGGTGCACAGGGTATGCATGCTCTGTGGCTTAACAATCTGGGGTGCACAGGGTGTGCGTGCTCTGTGGCTCACTCGGAGCCACTCTCCGAGCGCCTGTGTCTGCTCATGGCCTCTTTGTTGGATTTGGGGGGCTTTTTTTTTTTGTTCGTTTTAAAGGCAGGCTCTCTTGTAGCCTCAGCTGGCCCCAAACTTGCAATGCATCTGATGCCCATGACCGCTAGGCTTCCTCTCTCCACCCCCAAGTGCTGAACTGTAGACACAGGCCTGCAACACCCCCGTAGGGCAGCGCACCCCAGGGCTTCGTGTGCGTAGGGAAAGCACTCTAGCAGCCATGCTACGTCCGCAGCCCCGACGTTGGATCTAGTGTCAAAAGGATGTAAAGAAGGCAAGAGGGGAAAGTTCTGGTTTCCCCCAAATGTTCTACCATGTATATCTTTTTTTTTTCCTTTTTTCCATTGTGTGTCTGTGCCTGTTGCACGTGCATAGGCGTGTCTGTGTGTGTGTGGACTCATGTATATGTAGACACACCTATGTGCAAGTGCATGGAGAGTCCTAAGGTTGACGCTCTTCCACCTCACTCACAGAAGTAGGGTGGCTCAGCCGAACCCAGAGCTCTCGGATGTGGCTGGCCTCACTAGCCAGCTTGCTCTGGTGATCCCCGGGTTCCTTCAGAAGCTGGAATTGCAGCTGGGTTGACGTGCCAGCCCGCTCTTACACAGGGTTCCGGGGCCCTGAACTCCGTGGGCAGCAAGCATTCTAACCAGTCATCCTCTGCATCTTTTCTATTTCAGCCTTTTATTATTTTTAAACTCACTCTGTAGCCTGCTGGACCTAAACCCCCTATGTAGACCAGGCTGGCCTGGAACTCAGAGACCTCTCCCCACCCAAACCTCCCAAGTGCTGGGATTAAAGGTGTGCTCCCCTTCACCAAGCTTCCTACCAAAGTTTCTTTATGGAAAGGAGCTCACTGCTGTAAAACAACAAATAACCGTTCTCTTTCTTTCTTTCTCTTTCTCTCTCTCTCTCTCTCTCTCTCTCTCTCTCTCTTTCTTATTTAACTTGGTCTTGGCTTTTTGAGACAGGGTGTCATGCAGCCCAGGCTGGTTTGGAAGTCCCTTTAACAGAGGACAGCCTCCAGTCCTCCTCCAGTCCTCCTGAGCACCGGCTGTGATGAGATTACACGTGTGACCAGCAGTTTGGTTTGGGGGGTGGGGGGGAGGATTGATCCAAGACTCTATGCCCAGTAAGCAAGGATTCCACCAGCTGAGCTACACACAGCTGAGCTACACACAGCTACACACAGTTTCCCCGGCCTGAGAAACTCGTGACATGAGAGCAGGCAGATTGTTATATAGAAAAGGTGGGTAACAAAATTATGTTCAAATACGACCATCTTGTTGGGAAATAATAAGGAAAATTGTAAATGCTTATAAAATATTTAAGTTGTAGATGTTCAAATATTAACAGTAATTATATCCCAATTCTGGGTCCATAGATAAATTTAACTCCTGCCTTTCTGCCCATCGGTTCTGGGTGTTGAGACTTGACCTGACCTGACCTCACCACAGGTGAGGTGAGTTCAGCGCCACTGTATTCCAGCACTGTCTTCTGTTCATAATATACTTTCCGTTCTTACAACAGAATGTTTTGCTCTCACATCCAAACTCTAAGTATTAAAATCTCCATTGATTTTGGAAAGCTAGATGACTGGAAGTCCTTACAAGTACCTGTCTCCCCCAGCCTTCTTCCTTAGGTTTAAATTACTTATCTTAATTGAACTGTCTCTTCCCCATGTGGTCACATGGTTTGGTTCTAACACACCGATGAAGAACTGCTGTATTTAGCATTACCCGCAGGCTCTCGCTGGACCGCAACCTGAGCCCCAAGGAGGTGGTGTTTTTGTAATGTTTTGTTTTTATTTTATGTCTCCGAAACCTGAGCCCCAAGGAGGTGCTGTTTTTGTAATGTTTTGTTTTTATTTTATGACTATGGGTGTTTTGCCTACATGTATGTATGTATGTATGTATGTATGTGCACCATATTGTGGAGTGCCTGAGGCACATGGAAAAGGGCAGTAGATCTCCTGGAGCCAGAGCTATGAAACGGTTAAGGGGGGAGGCCCTGGAAAATGAACCCAGGTCCTTTTCAAGAACAGCAAATGCTCTTAACCTCTGCACCATCTCCCCAGATGTTCCCCAACCGCAGGTGGTAAAAATGGCTACCTGGATGTCAGCCAGCTTCCCCAAGATGCGGCCTGCAAGCTTGGGACCGTTCTCCATGGTTGGAATGTGCAGCATCTGCGGAAGAAGGGGGAGAAGAGTTTGAGGGTGTGGCTCAAGAGATGGTCACAGGAAAACCTGAGACATCCTCCAACATGAAGGCAATTCCGCTCACACCACGAGAGGCACCCCAACAACACTGTCACCCATGATACCCCCTAACATGAGTCTTTTCTACTCGGAATCTGAATAGAAACCAGTCAGTCAATGACAACTTATTCAGTTCCTACCAACTCAACCGAAGGCACAGGTTTGGATGCCATTCTTCAGGGTGGCTTACGGAATTCAGAAGAATGGAAGATGAACTCCACCCAGGATTCTAAGAATCCACGGGATGAATAATTGGCCTCTGTTGAACCCTCTGGTAAGATACCTGACCTCAAAGTTATTTTGCAACAAACGAAAGCAAGTCATTTCAAAGGGATAAATTAAAGCAAATCTCCTCTTCTTTTACAGATGGGGCTTCTGAACCTGCATCTGGGGCACGGCACGCACCTCCATGGGCCACAGCTCCCACGGGAAGGCGAGGTTAAATTCCGGCCCTGGGTTTGCATCTGAGCCGTGCCCATGCACGTCTTGCTGGAGGGCTGGCTTTTGATGCTTTGATCTTGGTAGATAGCTCATATTCTCAAACACTCTTCTTATTATGCCTTTTAGTATAATAGGATAATTAGGATCCCGCTGGGCTCTGAATGCCTCCCAGAAGTGTTTAAGGGAAGGATTAAAAATAAGCTAACCTTGGTAAACTTTTTATTTCTAGAGTGGATAGCAATTGGATTTTGGTTACTAAAATGGACCAATAACATATCTAGATAGTGCCATAAAATACTCAGACTAGTCCCTTACAATCTTCTCTTCCTCTCTTTGCTTTTCTCTATCCCTCTCCGGCACACACGCCTCCCTTCTCCCCTGTCTCTCTGTCACATCGACATAAAACCAGGTAGTTCTCTCCCTCTCTATGATAATCTGCACATGAAACTGTATCAGCAACCACCCTTGCAAACCAAATAACAGTAATAACAATAATAATAAAATGATAATACCAATCAGCTGAGATTATAAGGCTGAATTCATAAATCAGAGAAATTTATATTTAAGTCATCAGAAGCAGTTAGTTTCATAGGTATAACACCTACACACCTACAGAATAGTGCCTGCACAGTTACACACTGCCTACACGCCTGGAGTGTCTACACATGTAAAATGTATAGATGCCTGTGAAATGGTTCCTGTATCTTTACATTATAAAGGCAGAGGCTGACATTTGGGCATCAGGACTGGATTTTTCAATGAAAGGAAAAGCTCTCCAGCTGTCAAAATAATGCATATATAATAATGCACAAGCAAAGCTGGGTAAATGGGAGCTGGATGATGGCTCAGTGGTCACCGCAGCAGATGAAAGAACTGAATCCTCACGGGCATTTCGATGGCTGCCAGGGCACTGAAGCCAGCGCATCCTTGCAGCATTCCCCAGCGGGCTGGCAGAGCAAGTGAGTGTGCATATCTCCATTCTGACTGAATCGGACTTACTTGCCAAGGGCAAGGCCGACCGGCTAACATGGCTGAGCTCTCACTAAAGCACCGGCAAGATGGAAGTGCTGTGTGGACATAGGCCCATGCAGCTCAGATTTTCTCCCATACTGCGACTTCCTTAAATTGCAGGGAAATGTTTATGTTTTTAAAATTCTATTCATTCATTTGCTTATTCATCATGTGCATCCGGGAGGGCGCTGCCAAGCACACAAGGAGGTCAGAGGTAAGCTTTCCAAGTGGTTTCTTTCTTTCTGTTCAGTGGGTCCCAGGGACAGAAACTCAAGTTCCCAGCCTGACGGCAAATGTCTTCACCATTGTACCATATTCCCTGCCCTGGGCAAAGGGCTAGACCTTACTACCACATAAAGTGACTTGTCTTACCTGGCCCTTGTACAGAATGTCCGACACCGGGCAGACAACGCAGGCTGTCCCTGAGCCGAACATCTCCTTCACCCTGTTCCCCTCCAGGGCAACAATCAGGTCATTCATGGTGAGTTGTCTCTCACACACCTTGAACTCACCCTATTTGGAATATTAAAAGAAGAGGAGGAGGAGAAAGGAAAGGAAAAACGAAAGTAACTATGTGTCTTTGGATCTGGCTGAAATTGGGTAGTATCATAATGGTCCTCTAGGGGAAGCAGGAAAGGGCACACTGTGTGATTGCCTTAACATGCTGAGTGGGAAAGAACACACTGTGTGTTGCCATAACATGCTGAGCAGGAAAGGGCACACTGTGTGTTGCCCAGTGTACTGAGCAACCTGCTTTCAAATCACAGCTTTCACAAATGAAGTCACCAAGGTGTTCACCATGGATTTGCAGCCTGGGTTATCATGGATAAGGTCTCACAAGCTGACTCATTTTAAGAGCTACTTAATCCATCTTTTGTGATAAAGGACAACAGCTTATTTCAGCACACATCAACACGACAGCCACCATTTAGCATGCACCCACCACGTGCAGGGGTCTTTAATGCTGAAGAGATTATCTTTATTACTTTATAGTTGAGGGGACTTGGGTTCCCCAAGGCCAAACAGCTGGTGAGCACTGGGAACTCAATTTGAGCTAAGCCTGATCTTATTGCCTTTGAAATTGAGAAAAATCATAAACTGAGCTCCTAAAGCTGACACAGTCACTATTTCTTGGGAGCCAATGTTTTGACTTTATATGAGAAATTACACTGAGAGCTGTTGTGACTTTGTTCAAAAGTAAATTATTAAACAAGTAGGTTCCAGAAAATCAGCAACCATTACTGAACACAGTTGAGGCCCGATTTCTGAAGAGAAAAACAGGAAAATAACCCCTCCTGCAAATCAACAGAACGGTGCTTACTTGGCTCATCTTTATCCTTGGACTTGTTCCCCTGTCTGGCAAGTTGTGGTGACCCACAGCGCCTCTTGGCATTTTGTCTGTTTCAACACAGCTTTCAAACAGACTGCAGTTAAGGAGTCAAGAAAGCCCTCCCTGGATAGCCTCGTTTCCAAGCTCGGAGCCAGAGGTGTGGGAGCCGCTCGTCCTCACCTTACCGCCAGATCTTCGGCACTCATTCTCTTAATAAACAGTTTCTGAGTTCCATCAAGCTGCCTTTCCTACTGTAAATGTATTTGGGACAGGGAAAGCTGTTGAAATTAAATCAACAGTTTGCAATGCCATGCCCCGATATGCCAGCCAACAGACAGTTGGGCTTTGCCTACTCTGGACTTGGTAGGATTATTTAGCTCATTGCCTCAGTTTTCAGACTCTTCCAGAGAAACTGTTGGTCTGCTCCAAAATAACGTGGGGTGTGTGTGTGTGTGTGTGTGTGTGTGTGTGTGTGTGTGTGTGCGTGTGCATGTGTGTGTGTGGTTCAGATTAGGCACCCACCCACTGCTGTGCCAGCTCCAGGATGCTCTGCCTCGTCACTCCCGGGAGAATGATGCCATCTAGCGGAGGCGTCGCCAGCTCTTCTTCTGTCGATTAGAAACAGAAATGTTGGTAAAGTTTCACTCGTTAGACGTGTCACAGCAAACCACTCCTCACAGCCCATCTAATAACAAGCATGTTAACAAGAGAGTTAATTCACCTTCCCGGCCATTAGGCTTCTCACTCCATAGCCTGATACAGGAGAGGTGCTGGGTGGGTAAGTACGGGGGCTGCTACGGCAGGGCTGGGGCTCTGTTCGCTGTAGACACGTAAGAGGCTCACAGGCGCATGTAACTCAGCTCCCCCCGGACTCCACGGACACGGTGCTCAAGTGCACGCTCCTCCACACAAACACACACATACACATTATTAAGAATAAAACAAATCTTAAAAAAGCAAAAACAGACAGGGACCAGCAAGATGGCTCAATGGGTAAAGGCCCGGGCTCGTGAGGCTGACCACCGGAGTTCAGTCCTCAGGAAAGCCCACATTAGGAGAGAACTGGTTCCCACAGTTGTGCTCTAACCACCACATGTGTACCATGGCATGTAAACATGTATACACATGTACACTCTCTCTCACACACACTCTCTCCAAGCAGATGATAGTTAGATGATAGATAGATAGATAGATAGATAGATAGATAGATAGATAGATAGATAGATAG